TTTTTAAGACACCATCAAATGCTTTGCAGAGTGAGTAATCAGGGATCTCACAAGAAAAGACTAAACTCTCAAACTGATGCTGAGCAAAACGCAAAGTCTCTTCCAAAGACTTATCCCTGAAAAACAACTTTGTATCATGACCATGAAGTGTAAAGTTCAGTGTCCTTCCACAAGCATTAAGGTCCAAAATTAATCTAGCAGAGTTCTGCTTACCAGCAAAAAGGGGAAACTACATAAAGTGAGGAAGCTTGTTAGGAAGAACTTAAAAGAGGCAGCCGAAGGTTAAAGCTGGAAAGGCAAGCCTCTAGCAGGATGTCTATAAAGATAGCAAACATACATGACGTATCAGAGAGAGGTTAAGAGACCAAAAAAACCCAGCAGGCTTAAAAAGGCATCAATTACAAGCAAGACAATATCCTTAGAAAATTAAAAAAAGCTAGACACAGCAAGACAGGCCAAAACCAACAGTTTGTGGAACAAATTCCTAAAGTTATCTAAAGCAATGCTAAAGTTATCTAAAGCAATGAGAACCCAGAGAGTTTGTTCACCCTACAGACAATAAAGGTATAAAAAAAAAAGACTCAGAGAAGATAAGACAATAGCAGTGAAACTAAAAACACATTTTGCAATTGCGTTTAGGAGGTCCCAGACTGGTACTTTTTATAGGGAAAACACTGGAGGAACTCCCTTCCATGGGAACAGCCGGAGAGTTTTTTGAAGGACTCACTAAGCAGAAGAGACATGTTTAATCTCCCCCACTCTGATTTCCAAAGGCTTTCAACAAGGTCCAAAGCTTCCTCAAAGTTTCTGCAATGGGATAAGGTCCTTTCATGAACAAGTAATAGCTTGAAAACTCAGAAACAAAAAGGTAGGAATAGCAGTTTTCAGGGTGAAGAGAGTTTAACTGTGGGGTGGAGTCCTAAATGTCTCCACACTAGGGCCTGTGCTGCCTTGCATATTTGTGTTAATAACCTCAGAAAGGGGAGCATTAGAGAGCTCACCATGTCTGCTGACAATACCGAGTTATTCAGAACAACAAAAACAGAAGCAGGTAGTATAAGATACAGTGTTCAAAGCATACAGGGCAGCATAAAATGAAGTACCAAGCAGACTGCTGAACTTGCAGATAATGAAGTATTTGAGTACACTATGACAGTGGATACTGGTCAAGAAAGGCCAAGGGCCTACCATGCTATTAGCATCACAAGATACTAAAATGGAGGCAGAGAAGGAGATGTTGCTGGCTGCAGAGCACTGCTTTCCACTGGGCCAAGCAAGAGCTTAAAAAAAAAAAAAAAAAACAACCAGGAATACCTGAAAGGAAAATAACAGGCCTGAAACAGCCTTCAAACCACAACAGCAAAGTACATTTCAGTAAACCAGAAAAAAAGGGAGAAAAACTCCACAAAAAACTAATTCTGAAATATGACAGTAAACTAAACCTGAAAAAGTACTACTCTGACTTAATCCAAAATAGATTTGGCTACTAGTCTTTAAATTCCACTGAACTTAACAAGAGAAGGAATGAGAGCTGTATTCCTAAAATAGCAAAGCCCTGGAGTCAAATGGCAAAAAAAGAATTTAATCCTTTTACACTAAGTTATTAGCTGGCACATGCTCCAGTATAATAATCTCTGTTCATGCCTTACCTGTCCCAGAAAGGACTTGGCCAGACTAACACAGGGTTGGTTGAAAAAATCTGCTTCTAGCTGGGAAGAATTTTTTTTCTCTATCGCAAAATATTTGCTGCTTTTTGGAGAACAATCCTCATCAGGTGTAGCGTTCAGGTTCTCCAAGGCATCAAAAGGAGGGAAGCCGGAGCTGCTTTGGAGAGCACTTAATTGAGCCAACAGCTTTCTTTTTCTTGGCATAGTTCTAGAAAATGGATATAAACATAATTAGGAATATAAAGCTTATTTAAAAGTAACTCGTTTCCACAAACTCTTATTTTTGCACACCTCTCCACAACAATGAATCTGAAAGCTATAACTAATTGGACAATCTAGGCAAACTACAGAAGCAGGTGACAGATTTAGCTGTGTCTACATCAGGCTAGGCAAATGTTGGGCTCTACTGATAAGCAAACAGAAAACTGCAGTTTGAGAATTCATCTTTTAAGGACTGCAGATAAAAAGTAACTCTGCTTCCCTTAGCAGTAAAAATAAGTTTGCTAACTGTTAGGTTAGGAAATTCAGAAACTGAAAACAAAGATGAACCAGTACTATATACTTTTTACCTAGAACTAACGTAATCTATTGAGCAGACAGAAAAAACATAGGAAACAACCACCTCAAAAACTGTGCTGACTCAAAGTCCACAGAAGTCACGTATCAATCATTTTAAACAGTAATGTAACTGGATCAGAATTTAAAACTCTGCAGGACACAGAACATTTGAGTTGGGAGATGCCCTATTTACAGTCACAGTGACAAACTTGTTTATCATGCTGTAGAAACGTTTGTGTTAGAACCTCCACAAAATAAGCTTTAAATTCAACCTACCATAAAGATGAAGAGCAGTCTGTTCCAGTCAACAGTATGTATTCAAGGTAACTGCGTAACCGGAGATTGTACTTCTAGGTTTGTCACCAATTTACTATGTGAGATTCAAAAAGTTAAGATGCTTCTTGTTCTGTGCCACAGTCCTTATAGCTGTTGAACAGGAACAAACTTATTTATTCACTGTATAAAGCACTTTGAAATAGGCTAAGAGATTTTGGAGCTGGAGATCACGATACCAACAGTGCATCATTAGCTCAAACTCAAGAACAATTTGCAGTTTTCTACAGGTCTAGCAAAAGACCATCTCCCAGCTGGGGCATTGCTGGAGATGCTCTTTAGCCTTTTTTATACAAAAGACTACGAAAACAGTCGGAAATGCACTTTTCCTGCACTGAATACACAAAAAGCTAAAACCAAACTTTTTTAATTCCCGCATTGGCACTAAATTTGGAAAGTGTCAGCCTCAAAAAAGGACTCTTACAACAGAATGCAAAGACATGAGGTTTTAGAAGATGCCTCATCAGTTCTGAAATTCAACTACATGTAGATATAAGGGAAAAAACCCCAAAGGTTCAACATCATACATAATCTGAAATGGAGAACGAATCCTATATACAGCTGAACCTGCAAGGGAAGTATATACATAATTAAGTAGCTGTTGCCACTCATTTTTCACTAGATCATCAGCTTTTAAAAACGACTACAGAAATCTTCACCATCAAAACCAATCTTTATCTTGCTCTGACGTTTCTCATAAAGAAAGATCCACCAGCAATAGTTTCCTTGAACTACACAAACAAATTCAGCATTGCTACACCCTGGATCACCAGTGCCAATTCCCCAGCAGTGTTACATTTCACTTCAGAGGAATCCAGACACAAACATATAAAAATAGGCAGGGGAAAAAAAAAAAAAAAAAAATCATATCGGCATGACTGGCAGAGAGGTGGGAAGTATTTTTCCTAAACATCTAATTGGTTATTGCAATAATTTAGTGATGTCAGAGACTTGCCATAGAATGGCCAGCTCCATGACAGGTATTCTGCGCTGAACTGCAGCTTTCACCTGGTGGGAATTCTTAAAAATTTTGTCAGAAGTCACTAGCCTGCCTCAGACAAACTGCCTGCTGACCTTCACAAATGAGAGTCCTGTCTAGGAGAAAGGGTGTGGATAGGAAAAGGGGTTGCAGGAAGGAAGGGACGGAGGGAGGAACACTTCGATATATCAAACTGACCCTCTAAAAGACTCAGTCAAGGGAATACTTCACACTGAAGACAGTACCCTCAGACTTCTCTGACAGTATTAACTGGAACTTCCAGTTCATCAGCCATACATAGAGAGATGCTGAAAACATGGCCAATTTGAGCGTAGCATTAACTCGTTTGGTAATTTGTGCTCTGATGGAATGTGACATCAGAAACAGGATCTGAGTTGCCTGGCACCTATTGCCTTTCCAATTAAGTAATTCCTAAAAGCTGCAAGTGCTCTCATGTAAATGTTATTACAAGTGCCCTAAGGCTGCTGGTATTTCATTGCTATGGGCTGATCCTACACAGATCTCAGCACTTTCACTAGAAACAGCAGTAGGATACTGCCTTATAGTCATGAGAAACGGCTTGCACACAAAAATGTGATTGCTTTAAAAGCAAAAATGCAGAATGAGGGGACTGCAATACCATCTCAGAAACCCAGAAAAAGCCCAATCTACCTTTTGTCTCTCTGCTTCTTCACACCCAATATCATACCCATATCAAGTACCCAAGCCCTATGTGTTTGGGAAGTAAGAGACGCCATCTCTTCACACGTAAGTGTACAGGCAAATTCTGCAACTCTTCATTTCTATCTAGATTTTCCTGCTTGTACAGTAAACAAATTCTACTTCTGTGCCTCAAATAAGAATCAGCTGTGGGTTTAATCACTTTTTACTAATCCTGTTGTCACCAAACTAGCTACAAGTTGTTAAGCACATGTGTGTACACATGCACTAAAAAAGTATGGAAGTCAGAAAAGGAAGATGAAGACCTGAGTAAGTCTGCACAAGCACCTGAAGTGTTCAGGGCTGCTGGGCTAGTCCCAGGCAAAGTGTTTGGAGACCCTGCAAGCCAGCATCAGAAAGACACTGAAAATCTGTGTAAAATACAGCTCAGTGGCAGATACACCCTGTAGTCAAGGCACAACTGAGTCTACACAGGCTTCTTCAATCCTTCTAATAAGACTGCATTTGCAGGTATTTCCTCATGTATCTAATGAGCTTTCACTAAAAGGAGGTTAAAAAAAAAATCCCACCAGTAATTTGCATGTACTTTTGGCTCACAGGCCTAGATATCTGCACCTGCAAAGTCTTCCTCATGTACACACATCTTTCTGATAGCATGATGAAGAAGCGTACATAGGAACACATTGCCACTTCTGGAGAGACAATTCCTCATACAAATTCCCAGCTGTACAGATTTTATGTAGGAATATATGAACTGTCAATACTGGGTCAGACCAAAGGATACATCTCCCTGTACCCTGCTCTTCAGCACAGGTCAAAACCAGGAACCTAGGGAAGAACAGAATAAGCACACAGCACTTCACACATCCTCCGTGCCTCTAGGCTGGAACCTTCTGAACCAGGCACAGTTTCTGTGTACTTAGTAACTGTGAGCTTATGCAGTCTACCCTGAGCCTGTGTAAAACTATCAAACTGAGACTTTACTGATGAAGAAAGCTTCATAGAATTAGTCATTACAGCTCCAAAACCTCACTCATTTTGTGTGTGAAATGAGGACTGCTCCCCACCCACATGAATCAGTTTACATTTGCAATTTATCACCATCAGCCCTCCTCCCTACCACCTCAAATAATGTAAAGCCAGCTGGAAACATTGTTTTTCCAGGTCATTTACAAAACATCCCTGCAGCACTCCAATGGTGACCTCCAGCCACCACAAGGGCTGCCCATTTACTCACATCCTCTTTCCTATCTTTGCACTAACTGTTTATATATGACAGGGAACTCCCTTATTATGTCAGGGGCTGCTCAGGTAAGGGCTCCTGTTTAAAAGCTTCCTGAAATCTGAGTACAGACTGCAGCCAGCTTATTTAGACCTTTGGAGAATTCCAACATTTTTTTAAGGCACTGGCTCTTCCCCACTATATAATATTTATGCAGGTGTCCGATAGTTCTACCTTGCTATATTTTGTACTAATTCAGTTGGTAGCGGTCAAACTTCCTCATCTGCAGCGCACAGATTTCCCCTAGAACCCTCTTTAAAAAGCAGTGACACGTTTGCTGCCTCCAGTCCACAGGTATTAGCTTTCAGTGAGAAGGGAGAGACCATCATTAGCAGCACTGTCTCTGGGGACTTCATCAACTTGTGCCTGCCTATTATCTGTGTGCTCCACAACCTTTTACACAGATGCTTCATTTTAAGCCAGATCCTTCAATGATTTCTCAGCAAGAACGATTTCCATCCACCTTTCCTGTCTAGTCTAACCTATCAGTAACCAGAAGTAAGTTAATAATGTATAGCTTCCTGGACAACAGTGTGAGAAGCAGGCAAAAAAAAATCTTCTTGAAAGAAGAGTGCAGGCAGGAGGTAATATACTGTAACTATAAATATTAAGTCAATCTCTCCACAGACTTTGACACTATATGCAATCCTACTAACACCTCACAAGTATTGCAAAATGAATGGTTTTATTCACCTTACTGAATGCTGGGGATGCCATTTCCTGCAGGATGTCCTTGCAATTCCAGTCTTCAGTCCTACTGGACATCTTGAGCTTTTCAGAATGGAAACTTACGCACCCTTCTGTAAAGAACAAGGAAGATAAAAACAAGGGAAAGTGATGAAAAGTCATGAAAACCCCAAAAAGCCTTCACAGCAAAATTATGCTCCGTTTTGGTTGACTCTCTTAAACCATTTTGTTTTGTTCTGTTCCCCCCCGCCAGCCAACATTCTAGCTGCTATTTTTAACTGAGTGCCAAACTTGCATATTAAATGAAAGCAAACACGTTAAGTATAATACTGACAATGGATGTTAGTTAGCTCAGCCTTCTGAGGTTTCAGTTAACCAAGCCAGCATTTAGTTAAGCAAGGCAGCATTTAGAGAGGCCACAAACACTGATCAGGAAATGGACACAAGGATTCAAAATCATCTGCAGTTCAGGTTTTTTTTCTTTATACCTATGTTATTTGTAGCAAATGTATGTTGGGTATATTGGGCTAATCATCCAAGAGCTAGAAGTCCTGTTTTTTTTTTTTTCCCACCTATATGATGGCAGCGAGAACACTCCTGATTTGTAAAGCACATTGAAAGAGCTATATAAGGGGATACAGAACTAGGCACACTTAAGTCTTAGCTACGCATCTCATGAAACAA